AAATATACTTCCCGCCCTTGATAACTTCCTCACAAGGCCGGTAAGTGGAGGACTTCTTGATGGGTATATCCCTATACCCGACCCGGACAACCGAAAGGGACAGGTCAAAAAATGACCGGTCACTTTTATCAATCACCAAATGAGGTTAACTCTTCGATTGGGACGGGTCAAAAGTTGACCGGTCACTTCCACTAAAAAAGTGACCGGTCACATTTTGGGCGATAGCCAAAATGTCGCCTAATGTTGCAAAGGACATTCTAGAAGACCAGAGACGGGTTGAGCACAAAGAATGACCGGGTAACTTTTGAGAGAAGGTGACCGGTCATATCACTTTACTTGGCTAACATTGGTTCAGTCTCTTAGGCATGGTGAACCACGTCAGAGGTCAAGGGGACACCCCGCCGCTCATCCATCACGAGGCACACAGTGAAAGGAATGTTTGTCATTTTGCAGGGTTGATTGGATTGAGAATATCCATTTTAGTCTTTGATTGAACAGTACATGTCTTGGCCTATAGTTGCTAAATTCTATGATTGTACAGTGTTCCCATTATCTACAGTGACCTTCCCACGAGCTTCCTATTTTGTCCATGGATGAACAGGGGAAGGTCACAAATCCTCCTCTATAAATATGATGATATTGGATATAGGAGGGGATCCAATTTTTCTCTCACTAAAGTTCACTCTTGAGATAGAGTAAGAAATATTATTCGGACTGAGGAGATTTACCCGGTCTAGGTCATACTTTTTGTTCTTGTTGTGTGTTTTATATTACGGGTCGAGTGTGTCCAGGTCAAACCCGGTTAACCCACCCCGCTATATTTACACCATCAATGACTACTTCATAATGACCAAAGGTCCTACATTGGGAAATAAAAACATATGGTTCTATATTGGGAAATTCATTATGTTTTAGTCCTATTTGGGTAAATTTCTCTTTTATCAAACCTACTATGCAACCCTTTAAAATCTAAGTTGAACCAATTTTTTACATTGATTTATTCTGAGCTAAACAATGGATCAGATCAACAGGTGAATAGGATGAAAGATCAACAAAAAATGATGTTGATGTGAATGTGAAGGAAGAAATCAAGACCGAAGATGAATATGAAATGTCATCGAATGGCCCTTCCGTGGTCCACACTACCGACCTAAGCTTCATCGTCATCCTTCCCGCCTACCATGGTGAAGAAATGGTTAAAATGGTACACATCGGCCCTCTTGGTTTTGTTTTTATCGATATTATTTAGGATTTTGGACAATATAAAAGAGAAAAAGATCGGAATATAACTAAAACATACGGAGTACTTTGTAAAATGAAACAAGAGCAAAAACTTTAATTCCCAATCGTTATAGGACATATATCTATTTCTTTAACATAAAATTGAATTCATTGAGAAATTAAAGTATAAAAATACAATTGCAATCCTTAAATAAGCTACCACCCCGATCTGTCGTTGCCGCTGCCACCTTGCGACGACCCGCAACCGCAGCTATGATCTGGAGCTACATACAACCGTCATTGGCTCATTGTGACCACGATGGCCTACCACTGGCGTTGCTGTAGTGCTACATTAACGGTCAATATATATAGTATCAAACAAAGTTATAATATAGTGTCAAACATGATAACATATAATACCACACACAAAATGAATAATGATAAACATGTCAATATATAATGCTAGCTAGACATGCACCTGTATAATGTCAAATAAAGGCATAATGCCAGACATGTTAACGCATATTGTCATACATGTCAATGCATAATCACAAACATGTCAATGTATGATGTCACATCACACTTGCCAATGCATAATGTCAAAATATATTTGGACTCCTTTGTTTTAATTCTAATCTCCACAATATGTTTGAATCGTCTTTTTCTCTTTTCTTGACCACCCAGATAATGCCAAAGCGCTTCGTGGAAAAAACAGGGATTGCAACGAAGAGATATATACCACTAAAGGATGAGAAGGGAAGGACATGGCGGATCGAAATACATAAGAAACATGGCGAGTTTTTAATGCATGGGGAATGAGCGCATTTTTATGCAGCCAACATGCTAGCCAAGGGGTACATTTGTAGGTTTGAGCTTGTCGCCGGAAGTGGCAGTGATCAACTTCTTTAGTTTCATGTGAAGAAAAAAACACGAGGAAGACCTGGGGGCCGCAAGATGAAGACTCATAGTAGTTGCCATGGCCTCGCTGCAGCTAAAATGGTAAGTGCCTAAACATTATCAAATTTCGATCAACGGTAGATTGAACATAAAAATCTTCTTCCGTGGAGTACAAATAAAAACAAATCTAGAATCTTGAAAAAAAATTTGACTCGGGATTTTGTAAAATCAACCCATATGAACAAATTGGATTTCCACATCGTGTGGCCAACATTAGAGCAGTCACTATATGACCAGCACTCTTAGATTGGAAGAGACAAACAAAAACAACCCTTTGTTTTAAAAACTTAAGGGTGACGACGACAATGAACTGCCAAATGGGACTTCGACTACAGCACTGGACTTCGATCGGCAAATTCAGTGGCGGTTTGACGACGAAGGTCAACCCCACAAAAATATTTGTGGCGGACTGAAAATCAGCAACCAACCGTGGTTGTTGTTGCATGATCACAAACAGATGGAAGAACAGCTGAAGTAGAAACTGACGGATTTTGGTAAATGAATGAGGGTGAGGGCGTCATCGCTGGACAAACTACGGCGGCGGCGGAAGCTAGAGTAAACTAGGGTTTCACGCCCTTTTGGCGCGGTGAGATCTGATGGTGATGTCGTCGTCGCTGGACGAACCGCAAGCGACGGCGACGGCGGAAGCCGCAAACTAGAGGAAACTAGGATTTTAGGTTTTCCCAAGATTTGGCTCCGATACCATGTAGAAAATATTATTAGATCTAAACTTGGATTATTTGATCACACATAGATCTGCTGTTTATAATAGCTACAAGATTATGACCTAATTACGAGTCCAACAAGAATGAGCCCATTAACGACAAACCCTACTACATTCCTTAACAGTGTTTATGTTGAAGGTATTCTTAATGCCTTACCATCGGATCTTGTCGTTGTTGATACGCACGTAGATGCACCGGGGAAGGGAGAAGTTGCAAAGGATCCAACATTGAGCAATGTCATCATCGCATGTAGCCTTGTGCCTTCGTCCAAAACAGCCCAAATAACATATGTAAATTATACGCAAGCGGACATCTCCCTGGCCTTTGATATCATCCAGTCCCCTGCCCATGCGAATATAGTGGAGTCCGAGTCTTGGGTTTCACCGTCGGAAGCTAAGTTTGTATTTGCTCTTCTCTATTATGTCCATCGCTATACTCCAATTTGCAGGATTAATGAAAATCTGTCATCAGGTGGCCATAATCTTTGGGTCAACATTTTCTTTCCAGTCCTGAAGCATGAGTGGGAGCCTCCACCTTGTCCTCAAGGTGGTTTTCTAAGGGGGTGAGAGTGTTATGGATTATATAGTAGGATATCTGATCATATATTTATTAGTTTATTATTATTATTATTATTATTATTATTATTATTATTATTATTATTATTATTATTATTATTATTATTATTATTATATTGTAATCTAGGTTTTATTAGGTGAGCGAAATTATAAGCTCCTTCGAGGTTTCTTTACGGTTCTTTTTCTCGTCGCTTTTATTGAACCGCCAGGTTAGGTTTAGATTAGATAGGGTTTCTTTGTCTCCTATATATAGAGATGTAACACCTTTAGAGTTAATCAATCAATATAACAAATCAAAACCCTAATTCCTTCTCCCCCTCGGTTCGCCGATTCGCTCCTTCGCCCCAAAGCTTCTTCTTCTTCCTCGTCTCATATTTTCAAGAGCTTGAAGACGCTCCAAGTCTTCCCTATCCGATACGAGTTCGTATCATTGCCTTATGTGCAGAACAATATGCACAACTCTTTGATGATCGGCGGCCTGCCGGAAATTTTGGGGGGTAACAGAACAAGTGTTTTCGGTGCCGGCGGCAAACAGAGCCTCTCATTATTTTTAGATGATTTTTTTTAGGTTTAAAATTTCTTTACCCCCTAGGGTTGATTTTTTTATTTCAAAAAAAAAATTAGGGTTGAATTTTAGGGGTAGGGAGTCTAAAGAAAGTACTTTCTACTTTCATGTAATTAGAATTTGGATTGCGATTTGTGATGTCATCTGTTAAAATTGATGCAACAAAATTTAATTTGTTTTTTCATTGAAGGAAATTCAATTTGTTAATCATTAATGAAGTTATTGTAAGATGTTTAGATTTGTTATGTTTAGATTATAAGTTGATGAGCTGTTCATACCGGTAAACTTTTAATAAAAACAAGTTCTCATTTTAAAATTTCAATCTGAATTATTGTTTAAAATCATGTTGTATACTCGAGTGTGTTTAGAAAATTGAATTTATAGTTTTATTGGTCTAAGCAGTTTATTGCATCAATATCCCTGTAGTTTCATAAATGTGTTTATTACCTCCTATATTTTCAAAACTTACGTTATTGTCTTCTGTACTAGTTCTGAAATTTTTATGCCATAATAAATGAATAGCTCTTTTCGTCCATATGATTTTTAAAATGTGCACCTGTAACGCCCCAAAATATACCCTAAAATTTATTGAATTAAATATTCAATTAAACAAAATTTGTTTTGATTAAAATAAATTGTTGTTGGGCTTTAGGCTGAAATAAAATATATATTGATATCCAATAAACATAATTGGGATAAATCTCATAGAGATAAATCTAACATGTTGATTTATTGTGTGATCTTGATTGGGAACCTGAATACAGACCCAAATTAAGAATAAATGAAGAAATTGTTTATAATGTGAACTTTGAATACTAAATAACTTTATTTAGTACCTTTATTTATTATACTTAATTTACACTCTTGGAAAAACTTATTTCCAGTTAATTTGGTTAAAACTGAGACAGTTTCAGTTGGTGGGTTTTTATACTACAGCCTTTTTCATATTGCTTATTTAATAAAAATTATATCGTTAGATAGAGTTTAACTGTCTGATCGCAACGGTGCAATCAGATTTCAATTCGGAGAAAGTTGGACCAAAAAGTGTTCCCCAACTAGGACCAAATTAGTCCCAATTAGGGACTTGCGTTTGGAATCGGAGAAATATCGCAGCCCGCTCCACTAGCCGCCCGAATAGGAAACCAAACATCACCCTTGGCAGCATCCTTCACCATTTTCCTATATAAGTACCATCTCCATTCCTTCAATTCCTCGCCATTTCTTACAAACTTTCTGTCTATTCTGTTGCTAAGAGTGAGGAGAACGCAGTGATGCTGTCGTATTGGTGTGAGGTCGCCGGAGATAGCTACAATTCTCGCCGGAAGTTTTGCCGGAAAATCTTCAAAACCTCCATTAAGCTTTGAGGTAAGCCCGTAGATATATCTAGTATTTGTATAGATCGTTTTTACGTTCATAAACGGTCGTTTGGTTGAGTTTTATGTTTGACATGTTTGAAGAACCAAGAATCATAAACCAAGAAATTGTTGTTAAAACTACAAATCAATGACTCTAAAATGATCTGTGAACATTGGGGAACATTCCTATATAATTTAATTAAAGTTTGGTAATTAAAAATGATAATGTTAAAAATTGAACAGAGGAAGATGATGATGAACAGTAGCCGAAAATCGATTATTTCCTTCCTAATAATCGATTAAAAATTTGTTCAGATAGTCAGTATATTTAAAAATAATAATAATCGATTATTTTAATCATAAAAATTGATTTAACGTTATTAATCGATTATTTTAATTATAAAAATTGATTTTTAAGTATTAATTGATTATTTTAAATATAAAAATCAATTTTTAGTAATTAATTGATTATTTAAAATATAAAAATCGATTTTTAGTAATTAATTGATTATTTAAAATATAAAAATCGAGTTTTAGCAATTAATTGATTATTTAAAATATAAAAATCGATTTTTAGTAATTAATGGATTATTTAAAATATAAAAATCGATTTTTAGCAATTAATTGATTATTTAAAATATAAAAATCGATTTTTAGCAATTAATTGATTATTTAAAATATAAAAATCGATTTTTAGCTATTAATGGATTATTTTAAATATAAAAATCGATCTTTAGGTATTAATTGATTATTTTTAAAAATAAAAATCGATTTTTCTTAAGTCCAGATTCCTGTTCCGAAAATATTCGGAAAATATATACTTTAAAATCCACCAATTGATTATGATCATTGGAAAAATGATTTACCATAATAAAAATGATGTTTTTAACAAATAAAAATGTTATGTGATGCATGACGGTAAGTTAGGATATTAACACCCGAAGCTGGGCCGCTAATTGTTATTGAATATTATGTTGATTTAATGATTATGGTAATGATTATTGATTGATTATTATGATGATTGAATTTTGATGAATATTCTGATTAAAAATGATAATTGTGAATGATTAAATCATAATGAATATATTGATGATTGTGAAAATAAAATGTATTGTTAAGGGTATCTAGAAGACCTCTAAGATATACCCATATTGATGTTGATTTGAAAGGTATCTAGAAGACCTCTAAGATGTACCTATTTAAGTTAGGCCTTGCGGGTATGAACCCCGGTGGCTAGGGTTAAAACGTACGTACGAGATCCAAGAACCAAACGGGTAAATTTCACCAATGGTACCTGAACTTTAGCTGGAATTTCGAAGTGGTATCTGAACTTCAAATCCTTTCACAAAAATCCCTGAACTTACACAATCCTTTCACTAATGAGCCATTAGCCCGTTTCTAGGTTAACTTTCGGTCATTATGGCCAAATTCGAATTTTATATATTTTAAAATTTTCAGTTTGACCCCATTTCTTCTTTTCTTTTCTTCCAGGCCCCGCCCGCCGGTCAAAGTCGCCGGAAAATGAACTTTTTCCGATTCCGGCGGGACCAATGTCATTCTCTTCGTCTTGAGACGAGGATCAATAATATCCAAACCATTTTGGATATTATTGATCCTGCGGGCCGGAGCGTTTTCCGGCCAACTCCGGAGAAATTGACGGCGGGCATCCACTCCAATGTTGTCGTGGCATCTGGGCGACCTCCAAGGACCCTTCAATTGCAAGATTTGATGACGATTTGCAAAACCCCCCATTTTGGACCCAATTTTGATTTTAGGGTTTTTTCGAGTAAAAAAATTCAGATTCGAGAAGTTACAGGCCAAATTAGACAAAATGGTTTGGATATTATTGATCCTCGTCTCAAGACGAAGAGAATGACATTGGTCCCGCTGGAATCGGAAAAAGTTCATTTTCCGGCGACTTTGACCGGCGGGCGGGGCCTGGAAGAAAAGAAAAGAAGAAATGGGGTCAAATTGAAAATTTTAAAATATATAAAATTCGAATTTGGCCTTAATGACTGGAAGTTAACCTAGAAACGGTACCATTGGTGAAAGGATTTGAAGTTTAGGTACCACTTCGAAATTCCAGCTAAAGTTCAGGTACCATTGGTGAAATTTACCCAGAACCAAACTTGAGTACCTACTCGTTTGGGGGTACCACCCACCCAAGAGTGAACACTACGCTGTCGGTTTTTGGTTGGCCTTAAGTGAAGGTAAGTTTAAGATTTTCAAAACCCTTTTATCTTAAACTAGGCCTAGCTTAAGGATTATTTAGGAGTACTTTATACTGGAATATAGTTTAATTATTTAAACTAGAATTCATTTAAGGGTTGATAAACATTAAAGTGATTGACCTTAGACTAAGAATAGTTTAAGGATATTGTCAAATGTTGAATATTGAATATGAATGAATATTGAATGATGATTATTGAATTGAATATTGTGAATATTATGAATAACCGATGAACGTCGAATATGAATATAAATGTTGAATAATGAATGATGAATATTGACTAATGATTATTGAATATCTGAATTGAATATTATGTGCATGATATCAAATGATTTGATTATGAATTTAGATTCTGTTTATATGGATGTTCGATGCATTAGATATGCTTACTCAGCTTCAACGCTAAGCGTGTAGTATGTTTTATTTGCTACACGCAGGTTAATGAAGTGACGTGATTCTGGAGGCAGATGGAGGCGAGATTGTCGGAATGGATGTGATGGTTTTGAATTAAAGAACATAAATAAATTATGTTTGTATTATGATTTGTTAAGCTTCCGCAATATTGAAAACTCCGTACTGTTTATATTATGAAAAATATTATTGTAATAAATAAAAGTGTTTGAAATGTTTTAAATTTTTACGATTACCAAGTTAATACTTTAATCTGAAAGGGGCTGCAGGCCTGGACGGATTAGGGTGTTACAGCACCAACGCTTTTTCTTTTTTTCTTTTTTTCTTAAAGAGAAGAAAAATGATTGTATTTGAATAATAAAAATATTGTTTTTTGAAAAATGTTTCTTGAAAAAAATTGATATATACTTTATTTGTCTCAAATTAAATATTTATATTTTTTCTAAAAAAGTTTTTATTTTTTTAATCTATTGGGATCAAAATAATACAAAGTAAAATCTTTTTAATATTTGTTTAATTATATATTCAAAATATATTTTTTTGAATCAATGCGTGACAAATTTTCTTCATAACTTAATTTTCCAATTCTACAAAAGTATTTTTTATATACTTTTCTTCTTCTTTAATTTCTTTTCTATTATTTTTCTTTTGTTTTAATTTTGATTTAAATAAAAGAAAGATTATAAAATTAATTTTTTTAAAATCAGGAAGAGAAGAATAATTAAACACTAGAAAATGTGAAATAAGCTTCAATTTTAAAAAAATGAAAGTTTTTCATTGATTTTTGTATCATGAAAATGAATCAATAAGAATCTCTTTTGAACAAAATAAAATTATTTAATGTGAGACAAATGAAATGTATGTTAAGTATCTTTATTTTTATTCATTTTTTATTTCAAATATAAATTTTGTTTATTTAATCATTACGTAGTATAAAAATAGTTTTAAAAAAGAACTTTAAAACATTTATGAAAAAGTTTTACGAGAGATCTTCAAAATATTGATGAAAAAAATAGAAGGAAAAAGAAAATAGGAGAGGTGGTGTTGGTGCCCATTTCTAAATTCATAGGGACAGTGGCACTATTCATTTAATATTTCAAGCGTATTTTAGTCTAGAGGGCATTAGTACAGGAAATTTAAGATCACAATGGGTAATAATAGGGGGTATTTACTTCAAAAAAAATAATATGGGGTATTGGTATAATAAATTCTTTGTATGAGATACAAAAGTGATTGTTGGTGTTTGAAAACTAGTGCAAATCATTTCGGGACGGAAGTAGTATATTCACTATATTGATAAAATAAAAAAAATTAAAAATTATTTTACAAGATTTATGTAATTACAAGCTTTTTTTTAAGGAAATTAAAAGCTTTAATGAAGTGAAAATTCAATGAAAGAGATTCCACCTCAGCAAAGTATATCATTTCCCTCCAACCAATTTCTGTTCCAAGTTCGAACCCCTCTCCCAATCTCTCTCACCGTCGTCTCCGTCGTTCTTGCTCTGCTTACACCCTGCAACAACAAATCAAGAAATCAAAAATCTCTATCACCCATCTCATCACTTTCAATTCAAATTCTGATTATCAATCAATCGATTTCAATGGAGAACTCCCGTCGTCAGACTAATTACCTCGTGAACTGGGATTCAAGAATCCTGTACAAGATAATGTCCGACGACCCAATCGGCACAGACTCCGACGGCTCCCCGGTGTACAGAGTCGCCTTCTCCGTCTTCCACGAGACCTCCGGCGAGCGGAGCTTTGTCGCCCTGAAGACGGTCAGTTCCGGTTCCTCTGTACCCGAAACCCTTTCAAGAAACCTGAATCTGCCCGGAGACCACAAGAATCTGACCCGAGTTGAGGCCCACTTCGACGACGGCGCCACCGGAGACCTCTGCATCGTCACTCCGTTCTTCGAGCCCGGCTCTCTCCGGTCAGCCATGGCCGCCAAATTCCCCCACGGGCTTCCGGAGGACTGTATTTCCGTTTCCCTGAGATGCGCTCTGAAAGCCCTCCGGTTTCTCCACAGCGCCGGGGCCCTCCACGGAGACATCCACGCCGGGCACATTTACCTGAAGAGCGGGCCGCAGATCACGCTGGGCTTCGGGGCCACGCTCTACGAGCACGGGGCTTCGGATTCCCGGGCAGAGTGTTCCTCTTCCTCTTCCCTGCCCGCCACCCAGATTTCGACCTGGGCAGCTGCCCCGGAGGTATACAACAGCGAGGACTCCCGCGGCTACTCTGAGAAATCGGACATTTGGCTCGTTGGAATCACAGCTCTGGAATTGGCCTACGGAAGGGTCAGCGTCCCAAACCGCGAAACCCTGGAAATGACAATCAGGACAATAACCGAGACGAAAAGGCTTCCGAAGAAGCTCGGACCGGAGGGGCAGCAACGGGCAGTAGCAGCGGGCAGGGACGACAGGAAGGGAAAGGCAAAGATGGAAACGACAGATTTTGAAGAAGAAGAAGAAGGGTCTTCGTTTTCGAGGGAGTTTGGGGAATTGGTGGCACAATGCCTGGCATGGAACCCTGAAGAAAGGCCTTCAGTTGATGCCCTTCTGAACCATGATTTCTTCTGCAAAAACGGGCTGTCAAGGCGCGAGCTGAAGTCGAACTTCCAACACGTCCTGATTCGAAAGATCAAAGGGAAAGATTTCCATCCGCGCACTCCGAATAGGTAAACTTACCAATGCTGATTATCTCCTCCTGGAAAAAAGCCTTTAAAATGAGCCAAATTTAGTGTACACTTGTAGTAAAAAAAGCCATTTATAGCATTCTGATTCTGTCTTCTGTTAAATGAAGGAAGCCAAAATCTCACATTTCGATCCCGGGATCCACTGCAAGAGCTGCAAAACCACCTGATCTTTATCGCGGTTTCATCGACTACGATCTCAACCTTTCGCAATAGTATGAAATTTATGACTTTCACTTCAAACAAAAAATGTACTTTAAGTCCAATTGCTGAATGGCTGCTTGCTTACACCAAAACTTTGTACATAATTTCCCAGCTGCTTACCTTCAAAGTCTGCTAAACCATTGAAGATTCGTATCACCGGGCCAAAAAGGTATTCGATTGGCCATTCATTTCCAACCATTTCAGATTGAAATTGTCACTAACTCTTACTCTCTGTTTCTTTAAAGAAAACTACCAATGGAGGAGGATAAAGGCAAACCAGATGAAGCAGAAAGACCAAGAAAAGTTCATTCTGCAGTGCAAAATAAGGCGATGGATCAACAGATGCGGGAAAGCCCCGAAAGGGAATCAAGCCCTGAAGAGAGCTCCTGGATTAGTTTAGACGATCTTCAGCCCGGGTACGTGGTGGACCCCGCTTTCAACGTGGTCTACCAGATCATGTCCACGGATCCGATCGGGAAGTCAGGCCACGACGACCTTCCAGTGTACAGGGTTGCGTATTCGGAATGCGAGGACGATCCGTGCCACAGGAAGTTTGTCTACAACGACTTCCTCTCTGCCAAGATTGTGAACATTTCCAGGAACCTGGCCGGGTACACGAAGCTGAGACGGGCTTTAAGAAGGAACGAAACCCTGCTGAAGGACCACCCGAACCTGATGCAAGTGGAAGCCAGTTTCTTCGACACGGGCGCGCGGGATTTCTGTGTGGTCATGGCATTTGCAGAGTGGGGCTCGCTGAGGACGATCTTGGCAGACCATTTCCGGCAGGGCTTTCCGGAGACGTGCATTGCTCTAGTTTTGAAGCTCGTCCTGGAGGGCGTTTGTTTCCTCCACGAGAACGGAATCGTCCACGGGGACATCAATGCGGGCCACGTTTACGTGCAGAGCGGCCCGAACATCAAGCTGGGGTACGCGGCCACGGTGTACGACCATCGGGCACGGGACCTCGAGTGCTCGACTTCGTCCTCGCTGCCCGAGACCGACATCTCAAGCTGGGCAGCTGCCCCTGAGGTGTACGATCGCCACGCCGTGACCACCGAGGAGAGCGACGTTTGGCTGGTGGGCATGTTGGCCCTGGAATTGGCTTATGGAGGGATCCGGGTCCCGGACCGCGAAGCCCTCGGGGTCATGGTCAGGGGGATAAACGCGACGAGAGCGCTTCCCAAGGGGTTAGGAAGGGGGAAAAGGGCGTGTCGCGAGGAAGCGGGGAAAGGGAAGGGGAAAATGGAGGATACCGGAGAAGAAGAAGAGGAAGAGGAAAGGACGTTTTCGAGAGGGTTCGAGAAGATGGTGGCGGAATGCGTGGCATGGGATCCCCGGGAACGGCCTACGGCTCGGAGACTATTGGGGCATGAGTTCTTCAGGGAGAATGGGATGAAGGAGTCTCTGCTGGAGGCTTACTTTGAGGAAGTTGTGATTGAGAGACTTAGGAAGTAATGAATGTTTGGTGTGCCAATTGTTTGTTAGTAATGTAGAGCTGAAAAACATATGATCAAAGAGACACAAATAGGTATAAGGCTTTGATATAGAGTAGAATACATAATGTCAGTGTCACTGCCCCAAAAAAAAAGAAAGAAAATAATACACTTGTTTCCCTTGTAAATAAATGTGGTGTCATCCATATTCAATCTCTAATTTTGTTGAGTCCAATCAGGAGAAGTGTATGGATTTTTAATTGAGTTTTTGTTGAGAATTAGGGACATTTGGTCTAAATCTAAATCCATTTTTTTTCGGATTTAGTATTTGTTTAGTTTGGATTTTTCGTAGGCCTATAAACCAATCCTAATTCATATACAATATTTTTTATTTAATTATAAGTCAAAAATCCATTCTAGTTGACTGCATAAACCTATAAACCAATTCCAGAGACATTCAAGTATGTGCAGATGGATTTCTAGAAGTGTTGATGATACCATTCATAAAAATAAAATAAAAATTATCTTCTTTGATTTAAATTGTACTTCGGGATAGGATTTATTTCCAACCTAGAAAAAGGTAATGAAAGGTATTGACCTTTGAAACTTATTTACATCCGTTTGAATCGTCTAATTAAGTTCAACTCATATGAAACGATTTGTTATTCGTTGAGCTAAATAAGTTTCACTATTTTACACTCATTTGAAACAAAATGAGTTGAACTATGTTCAACGAATCTCTGTTCTCTGTTCTCGAGATTAGTTGAGCATAGTTTAACGAAATGAGTTTCACATAGTAAAACGAATCTCACTCTAGGTGCGCAACACTAAGTAATCCAAGCCGACCCACAAAATGAACTTTTTTAATTTTCTAGTGAGTATTTAAGACACCTCTATCAATTAAAGAAAATGATGTTTGCCTTCTTTTCTCTTTTATGATCCTCACTTATTTTCTTACTAAGTATCCACTATAGTTTTACCACTCATCTCATTCACTTATTACCTAAGGGTAACCATTAGAAAGTAATATTCATTATGTTTATTAATATTCGTGCCGAATTGATTGAGTCTTTGTAAACCTTACTCCCTAATTAACATTTCTAAATTTCTTTAGGGTTCGTTTGGTATACGGAATTGATGGAATTGGAATTGAAATGGAATTGAAATTCCATGGGACTCAATTGCATAGAATTGAATTCACCAATTCCAATTCATTTTTTGCACTATCAATTCCAAATCCGCATATTTTTTGTACTTCCAAACACCATAATCGGAATTGAAGTCCTCAATTTCAATTCCATAGTTTGAATTCCGTGTACCAAACGGGACCTTAATGAGTACGGAGTATAATTTAGGTGTGGAAAAGTTACAAAACAATTGCCACTCCCTTCATAGTTCTTCTTCACAAGCTACAAGTTGTGCGTGTAACAATTTGTTCTCTTTTCAAAAAAACAATAAGTTACGCCGTTACGGAGTAAAAAAAACTGTGCTAACATTAGTTAGATTTATCACTTCCTAATTCTCTCTATCACAATTTGTTAGATTTAAATGGTATATTTCAATTGTACACTATAAATTTTTAGTAGCGGAGTTTTTTGTGGATCACATTTTTCTTCTCTTCATCATATCACTTTCAACCACATGATTTACTTTTATTGAACTTCGTGTAAAGTCAAACTGTGAGTATTAATTAATTTGAGACGGAAGGACTATTTTTTATTCATTCATTAAATTTTTTATTTAACTTGATTTGTGTGGCAGAGAAGCTTTATTAGGGTACACTTGAGATGAACCTTTTAGTGTACCTTGAGCATTTTTTATCAAATTTGCTAGAAAAGATAGTGGTAGTCTTTCCAGTGACAGCGGTAAATATCGAATTAGGAGTATAGAAGTAAGGAGTATCAAATAAGGAGTGTTAGTCTATTAAGATTTTAATAGGAGTCGACAGTAATATCATTTTCAACAGCTGTCACACTGTCGTTTGCCGACTTCAGAATGTCATCACCTCAACATATCAAAGGTGGCCATATGAAGGAAAATGTGGTCACACAAGTGAAGGTGAAGCCAAAATCAAATCAGTGACTTTTACCGCTAAATATGCATCATCCTATTTGCCACAGTCGCCCACCTTTGTTGGTAATCGAAGTGTCGCCACTTATAGCCGGTGTTGACCACCATTGGCTGATAGTTAATCGGTGGTCCGCTAGCATTTATTGAATCAACTTTTTATTTTTTGTTTTTCAATTCGCATTACCGTACCATCACATATCTATATCACATTGTCATTACATCTTATTTAAAGAATTGAAGTATGTTTGCTCATATTTTAGTACTTTTGTTTGAAATCACTCTAATAGGACTAAAACATTGTCTTAATCCGTAAGATAAGAGTTTAAGTTTTTTATTACCCAAATAGGACTCCTCTCGCCACCTTCTTTCTTCCTCTGTCGATTTTACCCTCCGTGCTTTCTTGTGGACATGTGAGATTCAGTTCTGTAAAAATTTAGTTCTGCGACATGTGGCAATGTGGACATGTGGTCCAAGTACTTGTGGTCTTGTGGACATCTAGCGTGATTAATGAGGAAAAAATTGGATGCACGGCGCAGATGTTGAGGGGCTGGGTATTTTGGAGATGCCGATGCAAAGTTACTCCTATTTGGGAAATCTATGTTTTGAACTCCTATTTAGGTATATTTTCAATGTTTTAGTCCTATTTAGGTTTTTTTCCTACTTTTGTTGAGTTTTATTATTAAGTCATCCATGTGAAATACTCTCTTTATCCCTGAATATTTGTCCAATTTGGACTTTTTTGGTAAGATTTGGTAAACTTTGACCTCAAATTAAATAAAAATTATTTTGGATATTGATAAAAAATAGTTGTATTAGATTTATTACATCAAATATTTTCAAAATATTATTTTATCTAATTAATATATAATATATTTTATTTAAGTATAGGTCAAATGTTGAAAACAATCAAACAGGACAAATACTCAGGACTGTAGATAATAGTTTATTTTTCATATACTCATTTCACTATTTATTTTAATTTTAGAGTAAATGTTAGATTTTTTTTAGTCCCTAGAAAATAATAATGTTGTTTTTGGCCTCTCTAAAATATTTTAAATCCAAATTAATTCTAAGTTGGTGGGAGGATTATTTACAAAAAAAAATTAGAGAGACAAACAAAAAACACTACAAAAACGTATTTAACCCTACAAAGTATTTCTCTCTTCAACTATGATTTTTGGAACATGAATTATTAGTGTCATGTAAAATAATAAGGGAACAATTGTATTATTAATATTAAAAATTGTAAATATAATAATAATAATAATAATTATCCTACTCTGCGAATTTTTACTTCTCTATTCATAGTTTTCAGAATCGAACCGATGATCGAACCGGTCAAGGTACTGGTTCACTGGTCGAACCAGTGATTCAAGTGGTTGAACCAGTGGTTCAAACATTTTTAATAAATAGATAAATATAATAAATAAATATTTATAAATAAATAAATATATCTATACACACACACACACACACACACATTGTGGCATTGAATTAAAGAAACTAATATATGATTAATAAAATAATATTTCCTCTATTTATATATAAAGAATTGATGTTTGACTAAATTTATAATTTAACTTAATTTACTTGAATTGTTTCATTAAATAAAAAATAAAATTTACTTATTTAAAAAATATTAGAAATAAAAAGTGATTTGAATTTTTGTAAATATTTTATCTAGTATTTAAAAATATATATAAAATATTTGTGTGATATGCACTCCATATCAATTCCCTCAATGGATTTTGAATTTTAGTAAAAAAAACTATATATACTTAAAAAGTATTTGATAAAAAAATTTGAATAAAGAATATAAAAAACAAATAGTAGAGAGTTCCCACCAAGCATTGTAGCAGAGATGGTTTGGAGAAGCTCCTTCCTCCCATCTAGTCAGATTGTGGCATCTTTGATCATGAATTAAATACTATAAAAATTTGATATTTTAAAATTATATTTTAAAACAAATCATTTTTACTAAATTTAGAAGAAATTACCCTAAATATGAATAAAATATAGAAAAAGTACCAAAATAGGAGTTCTATATTTTTATTTCTTAAATAGGAGTTTGCACTATGGTAATGTGACACTGTATATAGGCATTTTTGGTAATATACATGGTCATATTTCGTAATGTAAATGAATTTTAACTCCTATTTCGGAAATAAAAAATGGAACTCCTATTTTAATATTTTCAGTATTTTGCAAATCCTTTGGTCTTTTCCCCTAAATTTACATTATAACTAAATAAACTTTTTTCATAATTTAGGGTCAAAGAGTGCCAAAATTTGACCAAATAAATAAATTTATGATAATCCTTTAGAGACAGAGGGAGTATGTTATAATTCTTGTTTTAGTAGAAATAACTTTTACTAGAAGTTTACGTGTTTGATTAGACTCTCTTCTTATACTCTCTCCGTCAACAAATAAAGTTCCTATTGCGCGTTACGATGTTTGACTGAAATTATTTTCAAATCATTTTATATTACGTATCTTTGTTAATATATTGTATATCTAAATAATACGCTGTGTAATACATCTAATTTCTAATGATATGGCACTCCATGAATATAAACGTGTAGTAGATGCAAATGAAATACTCCATTTAAGTCTCATATTTACAACAATCTTAATAAGCCACGAGCTGTGCATGTGACATTTTGTTTTTGGAAGGGTATGATTGGGGTTGCGTTGATCACTTTCTAAATCTGTCAATCACAACTCGATCAAACAGAGCCTCCAAATCACCATTCTCCATCCCACTCTCCGTGAAGAACTCATGAGTCAAAAGAACCGATGCCGACGGCCTCTCCGCCGCGTCCCAATCCAGACAAGACGCCACGAATTCCTCAAACTCCGCGCTGAACCGCCGCCCCTCCTCCTCTTCCCCTCCTCCACCTTCCTCCGCCGCCGGGATCCTCCCAGGAAGCCTCCTCATTACGCTAATCCATCCGATCATCGCCTGGAGCGCTTCCCCGCTCGGGACCCTGAGCCTGCCGTAAGCCAGCTCTAGGGCGAGTATCCCGACCAGCCAGACGTCCCCCTTCTGCGTCACGCAGTAGTCTTCCTCCCCGTCGCAAACCTCCGGGGCAGCTGCCCAGTCCGAGATCCC